TGATGAGAGAGCAGCCTGCACTGGCATGAAGGCCTCTTGTCCTTACTAACCTGGAGGAGGTGCCCTGGAGGAGGTTGAGGTGGGGAAGGTGTGTAAGGAATACAATGACAGGTTCTCAGAGAGAGAGCTCTGGTTTCAATTGTCTCGATTTTGACAGGTTTGCGTGACCTTTGAGGACATTGCCCTGTACTTCTCCAGGCAAACCCACGCTTGGCTTTGTCTTGGAGGCAGAATCTAGGAGACTGCAGTGGTGTTGCTTGGCAGGAAGGCTGGGGCCCTGCAGGCATCTCCCAGAGCTTAAATGGCATTGCCCTCTACCCTCCCTTCTCCCAATCCTTCCCTCCCAACCCAGCTGCTCTGCTGAGGGCCATCACATTGAGTAATGGGTCTATGATGAGAGAGCAGCCTGCACTGGCATGAAGGCCTCTTGTCCTTACTAACCTGGAGGAGGTGCCCTGGAGGAGGTTGAGGTGGGGAAGATGTGTAAGGAGTACAATGACAGGTTCTCAGAGAGACAGCTCTGGTTTCAATTGTCTCGATTTTGACAGGTTGCCGTGACCTTTGAGGACATTGCCCTGTTCTTCTCCAGGGAGGAATGGAGCCTCCTTGATGAGGGTCAGAGACAGCTGTACCTGAATGTGATGCTGGAGAACTTTGAACTTCTGTCCTCCCTGGGTAAGACCCTCACTCTCACAGTGACCTGGACTTGGGTTTGCGATTTCCCAGGCTCCATCCCCCAGGGTGTGCTCTGTCCCCCCAGGTAGACTGTGGTACTGCTTGATTTTCCAGTTTCCTGGGTAGTTGCTGTCCTTGGGAGGGTTTGTCTGTTTCCCCTGCTCCCTTCTATTCCTGAAGTCCCAATACTCCCCGCTGCACTAAATTCACAGGGAAGGACTTGTGGTTGATAGTGTGGTTGGAAGCCTGAGGGATTCCACCTTGATCAGTGAGGAAAGCATTTACTACATTCCTGTTCGTCGTTTGTACATTGTTTTTGAAGAATTGTTTATATATCCTTATCCTGGTTAATAACTATTTTTTGGTTAGACATTCTTTTGACTACTTCGTATATTTTATATATTAATTGCTTATGACATACAGGAACACATATTTTTGCATGTGCTTAATTGTGCTTTGCAGATGCAGATATTGCTCCCCCACACCCGTTTTTCTACAAAGTCCATGTTTTTAGGCAACCCTGCATTCAGCAGGTGTAGGGCCACCATGTTTCTAGCAAGCTCAGATGCTTGTTACTAGTGCTTAGCTATAAAGTATTATTCATGAAGTTATATAGCATTTGCTTTTGAGACAGTCATGCATTGTTATTAGCCTGCAGTATAATATTAACATACTTTTATTCTTCCCTGGAACTCCAACTATTTGTGTGAATTTCTGTCTTCATCCCAATATTTGCTTTATTGTGCTGATCAGAACAGAATACACAATCTCTCCAAGCAATTTTTTCATATTATTTGCAAGTATTTTCACCCATTTTCTAGATTGCCTTTCCTTTCATTTTGTTTATTGCTGTTTTGCTGTGAAGAAGCTTGTTTTCTTTATTTGTTGCAATCTGGACTGTTTGTTTTTTCGGTTTTTTAAAAATATGTTTTATTGGTTTTTGACAGGGAGAAAGGGAGTGGGATAGAGAGTTAGAAACATCCATGAGAGAGAAACATTGATCAGCTGCCGCCTGCCTGCGCATCCCCTACTTGGGGATGTGCCTGCAACCAAGGTATATGCTTTTGACTGGATTCTAACCTGGAACCCTTCACTCCACAGGCCGATGCTCTATGCACTGAGCCAAACCCGTTAGGGCTGTTTTTTCTATTTTGTCTGGTGGCTGGTGTCACACCCAGAAACTCCTGTCCAAAACAAATCTCCAGAACTTTTTCTCTAGGTTGTGCTGAGTTTTAAGTTTCAGCACTGACGTTCAATTTTGTCCACATGTTGAGTTAAATTTTATCAGCGGCATCCAGGATTGTCCTTTTTACATGTGAATATGGATTTTTTGCAGCACCATTCATTGAAGAAACTATCTTTCCTTCCTTCTGTGTCTTGTAGCTTTGACAAAGATTACTTGAAAGTATGAGCCTGGGTTTATTTCTGTGTTTTCTGTTCTGTTGATCTACCAGGTATGTGTTTGTGTTGGTCCTTCAACACACCATTTGCTTGCATTCTCTTTGTAATAAATTGAAGTCAGAAAGTGTGATACCACCAGCTTTGTTTTTGTACAAGATTTCTTTTGCTGTTCGAGTTTTTTAATTTCATACATTTCAACATACTCTTTTCATTTCTTTGTAAAATACCATAGGAATTATCCTCAGGATTGCATTTAATCTGTAGATTGCATTGTGTACTGTGGATATTTTCAACATATTTCTTTTTAAAAATTCTTTATTGTTTAAAGTATTCCATATTGTATTTCATATGTCTCCTTCTCCTCTTTCCCTCATTGACCACAAATGAGTGAGATCATGTGATATTTATCTTTCTCCGGCTGGCTTATTTAGCTTAGTATAATGCTCTCCATGTCCATCCATGCTGTTGGAAATGGTCAGAGGTCTTTCTCTTTTACAGCAGCGTAGTATTCCATTGTGTAGGTGTAACACAGTTTTTTAATGCACTCATCTGCTGATGGTCACTTAGGTTGTTTCCAAAATATTAGCTATCGTAAATTGTGCTGCTATGAACATAGGGGTGCATTATGTCCCTTCTGATTGGTGTTTCTGATTTCTTGGGACATTTTCCTAGAATGGGATTACTGGGTCCAAACGGGAGCTCCATTTTTAATTTTTTGAGGAAACTCCATACTATTTTTTACGGTGGCTGCACCAGTCTGCATTCCCACCAGCAGTACAGGAAGGTTCCTTTTTCTCCACATCCTCACCAGCACTTGTCCTTTGTTGATTTGTTGAGGATAGCCATTCTGATATGTGTGAGATGGTATCTCATTGTTGTTTTGATTTGCATCTCTCAGATGATTAGTGACTTTGAGCATGTTTTCATATGTCTCTTGGCCTTCCGTATGTCCTCTTTCACAAAGTGTCTATTTTAGTCCTTTGCCTATGTTTTGGTTGGATTGTTTATCTTTTTGTTAAGAGGTCTGATTTCCCTGTAAATTTTGGAGAGTAAACCCTTATCAGATTTAACATTGACAAATATGTTCTCCCATGCAGTGGGCTTTCTTGTTGTTTTGTTGATGGTTTCTTTGGCTGTGCAGAAGCTTTTATATTGATGTAAGTGCCATTTGTTTATTTTTCCTTAGTTTGCATTGCCCTATATGCTGTATCGGTAAAGACATTGCTAGGACATATGTCTGATATTTTGCTGCCTGTGGATTCTTTTAAGATTTGTATGGTTTCCCATCTTATGTTTAAGTCCTTTATACATTTTGAGTTTATTTTTGTGTATGGTATAAGTTGGTAGTCTAGTTTTATTTTTTGTTGTTGTTGTTTGTTTGTTTTTTTTGCATGTTCCCGTGCAATTTTCCCAACACGATTTATTGAAGAGATTATCTTGACTCCATTGTATGCTGTTTCCTTTTTTGTCAAATATTGAGCATAATGGCTTAGGTTGATTTCTGGGTTCTCTGTTCTGTTGAATTGTTCTACATGTCTGTTGTTGTGCCTGTACCAGGCATTTTTGTAATATAGCTTGGTATGTGGTATTGTGATCCCTCCAACTTTGTTCTTCTTTCTCAAGATTGGTGCACTTTTCGTGTTTTTTTAAATTATTATTCCATATGAATTTTTGGAGAGTTTGTTCTAGGTCTGTGAAATATGTCCTTGGTATCTTTTTTTTTTTTTTTGTCCTTGGTATCTTAATGGGAATTGAATTGAATCTATAGATTGCTTTGGGTAGTGTGGACATTTTATTGATGTTGATTCTGCCACATTGTGAACATGTTATATTCTTCCATTTGTTTACGTCTTCTTCTATCTCTTTTTTCAACTTTCTGTAGCTTTTGGAGTACAGGTCAGTTACCTCCTTAGTTAAGTTTATTCCTAGGTCTCCTAATTTTTTTTGTTGCAATGGTAGATAGGATTGTGGTTTTTTGTTGTTGTTATTTGTTTGTTTCTCTTCCTGTGAGTTCATTATTGGTGTATAAAAAAGCCATAGATTTCTGGGTGTAAATTTTGTATCCTGCTACATTGCTGAATGCATTTATTATATTTAGTAGTTTTTTGATGGAGCCTTTACGGTTTTCTTTGTACAATGTCATGTCATCTGTGAATAATGACAGTTTTACTTCTTTTCCAATCTGGTTGCCTTTCATTTCTTCTTGTCTGATCAGTATGGCTAGCACTTCCTGTACTGTGTCGAACAGGAGTGGTGAAAGTGGACATCCCTGTCTTGTTCCTGTTCTTAGGGAAAATGGTTTTACTGTTTTCCCACTGAGTATGATGTTGGCTATCGGATTGTCATATAAGGCTTTTATTATGTTGAGGTATGACCCCTGTGCTCCCACTTTGCTGAGAGTTTTTATCAAGAAAGGTGCTGGATTTTGTCAAATGCTTTTTCTGCATCAATGGCTTTGACTATGCGATTTTTGTCTTTCAATTTGTTTATGTGATGTATCATGTTTATTGATTTGCGGATATTGTACCATCCTTGCATCCCCAGAATAAATCCCATATGGTCATGGTGTATGATCTTTCTAATATAATGCTGGAATTGATCTGCCAGAATTTTACTGAGGATTTTAGCATCTATCGGGGCCATTGCGACTACAATGGGAGAGCTATGTGTAGGAGACATCCCTTTGGAACAGGCATGGCTTCAGTGGAGCTTTGGTGCTCAGTGAGTCTGCCCCTTGAATGTGTCGCTTATGGATATGAAGTGTTGTAAGCAGGTATGGTATGACACTGACCACTGGATATACTGGCTCTTGGGTCTCCAGGGAGGTGTAAAGTCAGCCACTGCCTGGGGCCACCCAACAGGATCTACAGAGAGATCTGCAGATTCTCCTCTTTGTATAGGGTTTGGAAGTGCCCCCATGAGGCCCAGCTGTGAAGCAAGGAAGGCTAGTGCTGGTACCATGTCTTAGTCCTTTTATTGATAGGTTTGTGGTTCCCTGACCCAACTGCAATTTGTTTGACAGGTTTTAGCCTGAGTAAGGACATGCCATGTATATACAAAAGCTGCTGCACAGAGCCTGGGTGGGGTTGTATATTGGATGGGATGAGGTGTCAGGGAATTACTAGGGTGGAGCAAACAGAAATGGCTGCCAGTCAGCCCTATGACTGGGGAGGTTTCAGCATACGAACAATGATCCCTGAAAGCACCTCCATCTGGGAGAAAGCCACCCTTGAGTTCCTGGCCCGATTCCAGTCAATCCAGTTTCTCCTCATATGTGTCTGGGACCCCACCGAGCCGAGCCTGGCACTGGATATCCCAGGAAGCGGTAGCTTGTAAGTTCAGTTGGTGGTGCTGGTATTATAAGAGGAGCAGCTGGGTATCCTGTAGCCTCTGTGTCACTGAGCCCCAATCTGCACTGGTTTTTACAGCCTGTAGTTCTTGCTGCCAGTAGGGACTTCTTTCCCCAGCTCTGGGACCCTGAGATGGGCGTCTGGTGTGGGACTTGGACCTCTTGCTCCTCCAGGTGACTTCTGCAGAGACAATCTCCCTCCCAATTAAAAAATTGGCCCTCATGGGTACAGGAGCAGCACTTTCCATGCCTCTGCACCTCCTACCAGTCTCAGTGAGCTTTCTTTTTTACTTCTCTAGTCATAAGACTTACATTCAGCCAGCTTTCTAGCAGTTCTGGCTGATGGTTGTTCTGTATTTTACTTGTAATTTTGATGTGGTTGTGGGAGGCAGCGAGTATAGCCTTTTGCCTATACCACCATCTGGGATCTCTTCTCCTGTAACTTTTCTGAATTCAATTCTTTATTCTACTTTTATGTTCACCTGAGTAGTGAGAATTTTTTTTTTCCATTGATTTTTTTTTTTCCAGAGAGAGAAAGGGCGAGGCAGAGAGAGAGAGAGAAACATCAGTTGGTTGCCTCCCACATGTGAACCTGAAACCCACATATGTGCCCCTTACTGGGAAACGGACCCATGACCTTACAGTGTACAGGCAGGTACTCTCAGCAGTGATTGACACAGGCCTGAACTATTTATTTATTCTTTAATTTATTCATTTATTTATTTATTTTTACACATATTTTATGATTTCATTGAGGAAGCGGAGTGAGAGATAGAAACATGAATAATGAGAGAAAGTCATTGACCAGCTGCTTCCTGCACACCCCCCATTGGAGATCTGGCCGGCAACCTGTGCATGTCCCCTGACAAGGAATGGAATTGTGATCTCCTAGGTCATGGGTTGATGCTTAATCACTGAGGCATACTGGGCAGCCTTTATTTTTTGATTTTAGAGACAGGAAGGGAGACAGAGAAAGAGAGGGAAACATTGATCTGCTGTTCTCCCTATCTTAGCGTTTATTGGCTGTCCCCTACATGTGCCCTGATGGGGGATCAAACCCACAACCACGATGCAGGGGACCACACACTCAATAGGAGAGCTACCTGGTCAGGGTTGTGAATTTGTTTATTAATTTCAGAAGCTCATATGGTAAGTTTACAAATTTCTTTGTGGAGCGTCATGTCGTCTCCTAACATCAACATCTCTTATGATGCTTTGTGGTTCATAGTATCAGGTGTAATGTCTTACCTTTCATTTCTATTTTCATTTCTTTGAGGCTTCTTTTATGTTTGTTTGTTTGTTTGTTTGGTTGGTTGGTTTTGTTATTTTATTTAGGCTGGCTCAGGGTTTGCCAATTTTTTTATTTTTTAGAAAAGTACCTGTTAGGTATTCTTTTATTTTTTCTTGTCTCACTTTTATTAATGCTTGTTCAAATATTTATTGTTCCTTTCCTTTAAACCTTTGGGTTTACTTTCTTGTTTTGTCTCTAGATTTCAGAGATGGCAGGTTAGGTTTTTTTTTTTTATCTTTTTTCATAATGGAGGCATTTATCCCTATAAAATTTCTTCTTAGAATTACATTTTCTGAATTTTATACATAATTTTTGATAGATTGTCTTTTTATTTACTTTGTGTCTAGACTTTTTTGAGTTCTGTTTTGTGTTTGGCTATATTGATATTCTTATTTATGTATTATTGGTTTCAGATAGGGAGGAGGAGAGATGGAGAGAGAGAGAGGCAAGGAGAGAAGGAGAAACATAATTGTGAGGGAGAAACATCAATCGGCTGCCTTCTGCACACAGCTAACTGGAAATGGAACCCGCATACTGATATCTGCCATGACTGGCATTGAATCCTTGACCCTTTGGTATACAGGACGATGCTCCAACCAACTGAGCCATACTGGCCAAGGCATTCTGTGGTTTTTAAACACAAAAATTTCCAGTATTTTTTAAAAAACAGGCCACTGTAGACAAGGATAGCGGAAGTACAGTGGCTGCTGGAGGTAACGCTGACCCTCGTTTTTGACTCTAGGTATCTTCGAATATGTTTATTCACCCAGCCTTTTCCAGTCATTCTTTCTGTACAGTTCTTCATTATTTGTGTCTGTAATACTGTTTGCCTTCATGGTACTCTTATCCCCATTTCCTATGGGGTTTTTGTTCATGGATAGCTGTCTACTTACACTGGGATGGGGGAAGATGCTTATATCTCTGATCCTGCCATCTTGCTGATGTCACTCACATAGGTCTTTTGTCTGTGATCTCATTGGTCCTTGGTTGTTCTACCACGGTATTGACCATCCATCTTTTCCGGGTTTTTTTTGTGAAGATTTGCATCATTTATCCCATGCTATGGCTCCAATGGGATTGAAGGGAAAGAATCATTTCTGCATCACAGAAGAAACACGACTTTATGAATGACACAATGGACCCCCAGGCGGTCTTGCCTTGGGGAAGGGTCTTTGGGGAGGAATTCACAGCTGGCCTTTGTTGCATTCATAGCTAGAAACCCAGTGTTTGGTTACAGTTGCCCGTTCCTCATCCAGTTATGCTTGTTTGTGCTTATTGTTGATACTTTGCCAATTCCTCAGTTCTAATAGTGATCATTTCTACTCAGATTCCCAGCGCAAGGAAAACCTTAACTTCTGTAATTTGCACCTCTGCCTATTTCACAGGTCTCCCTTTACTGCACTCCAACTTTGGTCCATGCCTGCTGCACCTTGGAGAGCACTCGTATTATTATATAGACGTTGAACTTCATGTGCTCTAATACAATTAATTTTTGTGGCTTTGAGCAGCTTTAAATTTTTACACAGACTCACGTGGCCAGGATATAAGGTCATAAAGGAAGGCCTTTGTGCAGGAACAATGAATAGAGCCTTCCTCTCTTCTTTGTATCCCATCCTGTGCTTCTGTCCCTCTCTTGGTGAGATTTTCTTTTTCTTTTTCTTTTTTTTTTTGAGTGACCAGTACTTTTTATTTCACATGGCAATTTAATTTTTTATCCAATCCAAGGGTCTGAATCTGAAATTGACAACTACTTCCAGAGTCTCTTTGCTATGCAGTCTGGGGGGCGAGGGGGCGAGTTTTTTTCCAATGAAAGAACCCTTTCCCCGCCCTTGACAATCCCCTGGCCTCCCCTACCCCCCAGTATCTTATGTCCATTGGTTATTCTTGGTGAGATTTTCATCATCGACTGACTTTTGGGGCCACGTTATATATTAACAACCATTTCCTCGGGGTTTACTTCACTTGTCTTGAAAATCTTTCTATGACATCAGGCCAAGTCATGACAGATAAACATTTGTGGTAAAGATATTCTGTTTTTACAAGATCAACATGTATTTCACCAGCTTTTCCTTTTGTTCAGGTTGCTGCTGTGGAGCAGAGAATGTGGAGGCACCGACTGGGAAGAACATTTCTGTAGGGGTGTTACAGGTAAGGAATCACAAGTTAGCCTTGTCTTCCCAGAGGAGCCACCCCTGTGAGAGTTGTGGGCTAGTCTTTGGAAACATTTGCCATGTGATGGAGGGGCAAGGAACCCAACACGCACAGATACTGTTGAGGTGTGGGGCATGTGCAAAATGGTTTTATTTCAGTCCGAAATTTCACCAGCAGCATGTGAGAGAGAAGACTTTCATTAGAGGTGTGGACAGGATCTCACTTGCAAACAGCTGCAATTTCAATGTGTCCCAGAGTAGTTTCACATGCGGAGAGGTTGGGCAGGATGTCCTTACCGAATCAGGACATCTCTTCCTAAATGCTACTCAGACCAGGGACAGTGCTAATGCTATTTCAACGCGTGGGATGACGTTTCAAAGGCAAAGAAATTATTACACCAGAAAAGAATGTAAGAAAGACATTAGTTGCCCCCCACACGTTTATTCAGGAAAAGGATGTCCATGTTGGAAGTCAATGTTTTGTGTGCTCTGGATGTGGAAAATATTTTGCCAAATTTTCTTGCTTTCATTATCAACAGAGAGGTCACACTGAAGAAAGGCCTTATCAGTGCAGTGAATATGGGAAATCTTTTAGCAGTAGTAACTGCCTAGATGACCACCAAGCTTTGTACACTGGAGAAAGGCCTTATGCGAGCAGTGAATGTGGAAAAGCTTTTACCAGAAGCAGTGCCCTCCATGATGATCAGGGAGTTCACACAGAAGAAAGGCCTTATGAGTACAGTGAGTGTGGGAAACCTTTTACCAGTAGCAGTAACCTTCATTGTCATCAGAGAGTTCACACTGGAGAAAAGCCTTATAAATGTAGTGAGTGTGGGAAAGCTTACTGCAGTTGCACTAAACTTTGTTGTCATCAGAGAGTGCACACTGGAGAAAGGCCTTATCATTTCAGTGACGGTGGGAAATCCTTTACCACTAAGACCCACTTTCCTAGTCATCAGAGAGTGCATACAGGAGAAAATCGTTATAAATGCAGTGAATGTGGAAAGTCTTTTACAAGGAGCACTGGTCTCCAATATCATCAGAGAGTTCACACAGGAGAAAAGCCTTATCAGTGCAGTGAATGTGGGAAAACTTTTACAGGTCCCAGTGGTCTCCAATATCATCAGAGAGTTCACACTGGAGAGAAGCCTTATCAGTGCAGTGAATGTGGGAAATCCTTTATCACTAAGACCCACCTTCATAGACATCGGAGAGTTCATACAGGAGAAAAGGCTTATAAATGCAGTGACTGTGGGAAATCTTTTACCACATTCACTGACCTTTGTCATCATCAGAGAATTCATCTTGGAGAAAAGCCTTATAAATGTACTGAATGTGGAAAAGCTTACACCAGTAGCACTAAACTTTGTCGTCATCAGAGAGTGCACAATGGAGACAGGCTTTATCACTGCAGTGAATGTGAGAAATCTTTTATCACTACCACTAAACTTTGTCATCATCAGAGAGTTCACACTGGAGAAAAGCCTTATAAATGCAGAGAATGTGATAAATCTTTTACCACTAACACCAACCTTCGTAGTCATCAGAGAGTTCATACCGGAGAAAAGCCTTATCAATGCAGTGACTGTGGGAAATCTTTTACCTGGAACAGTGATCTTCGTCGTCATCAGATAGTTCATACAGGAGAAAATCCTTATAAATGCAGTGAATGTGGAAAGTCTTTTACAAGTAGCACTCGTCTCAAATATCATCAGAGAGTTCACACTGGAGAAAAGCCTTATAAATGCAGTGAATGTGGGAAATCTTTTACCTGTAGTACTAACCTTCATACTCATCAGAGAGTGCACACTGCAGAGAAGCCTTATAAATGCAGTGAATGTGGGAAATCTTTTACCTGTAGTACTAACCTTCATACTCATCAGAGAGTGCACACTGCAGAGAAGCCTTATAAATGCAGTGAATGTGGGAAATCTTTTACCTGTAGTACTAACCTTCATACTCATCAGAGAGTGCACACTGCAGAGAAGCCTTATAAATGCAGTGAATGTGGGAAATCTTTTACCTGTAGCAATGGTCTTCAAAATCATCAGAGAGCTCACACTGGAGAAAGCTGTTATGAGTGCAATTAATGTGAGATATCTCTCAGTCTAATTTGTAAATAATTCTACATAACAAAGTCCGGATATGATAAGGTTCTTAGATGTGTAGGAAATGTAGTTTTTTAATAAGGATTTATCAATTGTATAAGAAAATAAATAAAGTCTCATTAGTCTGAATTACATCTCATACAGTTAATCGCCTACATTCTGTAACATCTCCACAACTTTTTCTGCTGTTTTGTTTGTTTGTTTTTATGTTGGAAGTATATGTATCTATGTTGCACTTTCTAATATACAGAGATGTCCTGCCCGATCTATGTCACTGCATATTTCTGTTGCTGAAGCTCTTTCCCCGGATTCACCTGTAAGGACCTTACGGGTGGCCACAATCACCATCCTCATGTGCCCAGGGAAGCTAATTTTGTTGTCTAATTTGTTGAAGAAAATTAGGAATACCTGGCCCTTGTTTCCCTGGTATGAGTCGCCACATAGGACCGATTACTGTTGGCGCCAGTAAACATAATGTTGCAGAAGAAATGCCATTTTAAGGGACACATTTTCCCTATATCCTAATGTTGAGTTTTTTTATCGCGTGCCTAAGTCATCAATGGGAGAACTGCCAGTCTCAGATCTCTTTCTTTGCAAAGTAATGGTTCTTTCCTAGGACTTCTTTAATGTGTTCTGTTGATCCTGTGGGTTAGTTTATAAAAAGATCTGGGCTCTCTGAGCATGATGAGGTGAAACACTTTTATAGGGTCTCAAACATTTTTGTCCTGGGGGGAAGACTATGGTGCAGAAATTAGCTCAGCAGTTTTGCCAAATTTACATTGCTGCCCATAATTTCCTAGGAAATACTGTGGACTCTAGTTCTCATGTGAAGCTGGATGCTTTGAGACGCAGAGATCACACCAAAGAGGGAGTAGCTGTGACAACCTCAAGTATGTCTGGGAGCAGTGTGAATTTTTTTTCTTGTTTTCAAGGGATGCTAAGACATCTGAAGGAATTCTTTTGCCCAGGTGTTGCAGAGGGCCATGTGCCCTAATGCCTTCAATTGCATGGGTGATGGGCACTTGTTGGAGGACCATCACAGTGAGGGGGACCCCTTCACTGCAGAATCACTGACCTAATTCTTGTTGGACCAGACTGCAGCCCATTAGAAGGAATGGTCTTCATCTAAACCTGCACCCAGACGTTTTTTTTTGAGGAAAAGACTACAGGAGCCGTGTGTACACAGATCTGAGGGACTCCAGGCTTGTTTCTCTTCTGTGGAGCAGTCATTGTCATTTATTATTATCAAGAGGTTTTGTGGCTTCCTGTAGCTTCTCAGATGTTCCCATCAGAGCCATTGGTCCTCTTGTGGCAAAACTAAGAGGATACCAAAGGGTGTCCTTAGGCCAGAGATGTGGCTTTTGTGACCCAGTCAACATTCCAATTGGTTTGGGTGAAAGATCTTCATTGTTTGTTACATTTTCTGTCACTGAGATGAGACTTGCCCAGAGGGCAGAAGAATGGGCATTGAATATGGAATTTAAAAACCCATTGTTCCGCTGAAACCGGTTTGGCTCAGTGGATAGAGCGTTGGCCTGCAGACTGAAGGGTCCCAGGTTCGATTCCGGTCAAGGGCATGTACCTGGGTTGTGGGCACATCCCCAGTGGGAGATGTGCAGGAGGCGGCTGATCGATGTTTCTCTCTCATCGATGTTTCTAAGTCTCTATCTCTCTCCCTTCCTCTCTGTAAAAAATCAATAAAACATATTAAAACAAAACAAAACAAAAAAAACCATTGTTCCAAAGTAGGTGATTGTACCTTTCTTTTCTCTTGAACCATTTTTTAACAGCTATAATGAATAAATTACATGTATTAAGTATAGTGTTTTATAAATCTTTACATGTACATGAAACTGAAACCATCATTATACTGATAATGCTGATCGTATTTGTCACTGTGTAGTTGCTTCATGACCTCGTTTTATCTGTCCCTATTTTTCACAGCTTTCCTTGTAACCATGGATTTACATTCCATTTTAATAGAGAAGTTTGCTTTTTCAAAGTATTTTCTGGTTTAATTGATATTTCATAAATTCTTGGAGATTTATTAAAGATATATTAGTAGCTCTTTTTTTTGATAAATGTTCTTTTTTTAAAAATATATTTTATTGATTTTTTTACAGAGAGGAAGTGAGAGGGATAGAGATTTAGAAACATCAATGAGAGAGAAACATCGAACAGCTGCCTCCTGCACAACCCCTACTGGGGATGTGCCCCCAACCAAGGTACATGCCCTTGACCGGAAT